TCTCTTTCTTTTGGTAATTAGTTTACTAATTTGATTTGCAAGCGATTTCTACTCTTTGTAGTACCCGGAAAAAAAGAGTTTTTGACGCTCTTTTATAAGGCCTTTATATAACAAGCGTTGTTGATTTTAGAGGTTGGCAGATATCTTGAGCAGAGAGTATAGAATAATAAAAGTTGTTGCAAGCAATTTGTATTTTATATGGTGAATCATCTAAGGTTTCAATATTGGTAGATCGTATTAGTGAAACAGTGTCAGCAATTCTACCTGATTGGTAAGCAATTTTGTGGGGAACTGGGTGAGTAGATTTATAGATATTTAGAGGAGGTTGACCAACTACGACAAGGTGATCTGAATTACCAAAACTAGGAAGGGTATACGATACATATCATTTAGGAATGTTACTCAAGATGATGCCAAGAACAGATGTTTTTGGTAGGATGTGCATTAAGATGAATGAGTTGGTGAGAATGACAAATAAAGTCAGTAGAGCAGCCATTTAGATCCCCTGCAAGAAATATTAGTGGTTTGTTGCCCATTGTACAAAGAATTATTGCTGGTTCAATGAGTTGTGCAAGTTGATAAGATGTATTGCGCTGCTCATTTTTAGACCAAAACAAGATATAGGCACATATAACTAGACAGGAAAAGTATCCTCGGGGTAGTAGCTTTGGGTATACACGAGCGATTTTTGTAGTTAATTTTATTTTTTCAAATTTATCCGAGTATTTTTTGTTTATGAACATAACAGTAACACTACCCAATCTTGATGTTCAGTGCTTATGCAAGTGTAATATATATATATATATATACATACATATATGTATATATACATATATATATATATATATTTATGTATATATATATATTTATGTATATATATATTTATGTATATATATATTTATGTATATATATATATATATATATATATATATATATATATATATATATATATATATATATATTTATATATTTATATATATATACATATATATATGTATATATGTATATATATATATATATATATATATATATATATATTTATGTATATATATATATTTATGTATATATATATATATATATATTTATATATATATATATTTATATATTTATATATATATACATACATATATGTATATATGCATATATATATATATATATATATATATATATATATATATATATATATATATATATATATATATATATATATGTATATATATTAAACTACTATTATATATCATTGGAAAGAGGCTAAATTTTGTATTACTAATGGTAGTTTTGTTAAGGAGTTTTGCTGCAAAATTTTGCTTTATTTAAAATATTTTATCTTATTTACATATTCTGCTACCAAAAATTAATTGTCTGCAACATAATCTTTTCCCATGAAATTTGGAATGAGCATATAAAACTTTTTAATTTTTATCTGTTTATTTAATTGACAAATATTTATACAGGATAAATTACTTAAGAAATTTCTACTTAGGTGGTAAGGAAAGTTCGATAGGAAATTCCCCTATTAAAAAAAAAAAAGAGTTTTTTTTTTAATTTTATTTTATTAAATGTTCAAAATATTGTCCATCATTATCTATACAAAGTTGCATACTTTCAAGCCATTCGTGAAACGTTTTTTTATACTCTTCTTTGGGTATACTTTCAAGTAGCTTCGTTATGCTGGTTTTTCGGCTTTCGACATCAGTATCGTCATCAAGATTTTTTTTTATCAAGTCGAATAGCCAATAATCGGATGGAGCTAAGTCTGGTGAGTATGGTTGGTGGTGAATTATTGTAATTCCAGCTTGGTTTAGACAATTTGTGACGCTTTCAGTTACATGGGGTCATAAGTTATCATGAAGAAATTTGAAATTGTGAGTGCCCGTTTTTTTGTCTTGCTTATTTAACTCGCATATAAGAGGTTTCAAACAATTTCTTAAATAATATTCGCTAGTATAGTATAGTATCTCCCTTTTCAACATAACCCAAATGAATAACATCTGTTGTTTTGAAGATGTAGAACATGTTTTTCTGCTGAAACCTATCGCATCTTACTATAGTTCTTGGATTTTCATCCTCACTGATCCAACTAGTGTTAGCTGACTTGTGTCCAACTTGTCTCAAATAAAACCATGACTTATCCCCTGTAACAATATCGCATAGCTTCCATGGGTCGTTTCTGAAAAGGGCTAAATTTTCCTTACTTGCCTCAACTTTATTCTTTCGATTTTCATCAGTTAACTAGTGGGGTATCCAACATGATGTTAGTTTTCTTTTTTTAAGTGCTCCAAAATATAGTACAGTTTTAAATTTTTTTTTTCAAACGTATATATTAAAATTTAAATAACTTTTTAAATAAACATTCAAAATATTTCAACAAGTACTTAGAATGTTCATAATTAAACACAATTTAAGATGATATATAAATATTTAACTATTTCCTGTAACTTTATAGATGAAGTTCTACAAACTTCTCTAACGACTTAAATATAATTCTGTTATCAATGTAAGTCCTGTTATAAAATATAATCAATTGAAGCAATAAGGTTATCAGAAATGTTATAAAAAAAAGTATTAAAAATAACTTTTAAACTTATTTTTAAATTCAGTCAAGGAGTTGATTTTTCTTATTTCTAATGGTAGATTATTATAGACACTTGCACCAGAGTAATAGAAAAAACTTTCACCAAATTCAAGTAAACTTCGGAATTTTTGTTAGATTGCTGTTATTTTTTGTTGCTTTTGAATGGTTGACAACCTCAAAGTACTTCGTAAAGTTTGAGAATGATAAACCAAGAATGCATTGCTTTGTTAATAGATAAAATGCAACAAGTATTTGCAAGAATGGTGATTGTGTGTTCATTTTGCGCTTACTGTTAGCATTTATTATATGAGATGCACGTGTGTCAAAGAGTCTAGCTTATCTGTTTTTGATTTTGATGAGTTGAGGCAAACATTTCCACAGTAGGTTAAAACAGGAATAATAGTCAACTGGGCCAAGTAGATTAAAAAAAAAAACCAACACACCTTTGATTTTAATTTTATATCTGATCAACAAAGAAGTAAATTCAAATTAAATGAGTAGTAAATTTAAAATTAGCAGTGATAACTACAAAAAAGAACATCACCAAAATGATGTTTAACTAATCTATTTTCTATAAAACAATAAATAAAATTTTATAAAATTGTAGTATGTTCATACAAATTTTTTAACAAATAAAACAACAAAATACATCTGACAACACATACTCCAAGCACATTATGATAAAATAGTCAAATATTTTGATTACAAAACTGTTGTTGTAAATTGACTAATAAGCGCATACCGTCTAGATATGAAGAAAACATCTCATCTTACTCACATGAAATTTAAGCACCATTACACCATTATTTCCTTGCCCTCAAAGCATATGTTAGGAAAAAAAAGGACGCAAAAATGTCCAAAAACAGCTAACTTCAAGTGTCTTGTCTATTTTTTTTTTAGAGCTTTAATATATATATCTGTTTTTTGATTAAAAAGTATGGTTTATTTCTTACTTCTCAAAAAACAGTATAATTTAAATTTTTAATGTACCAAAATCAAAAAATGTAACTGCAATTTAAAATGTAAAAAAAAATTTGTGCCAGATATATATATATATATATATATATATATATATATATATATATATATATATATATATATATATACATATATATATATATATATATATATATATATATATATATATATATATATATATATATATATACATATATATATATACATATATATATATATATATATATATATATATATATATATATATATATATATATATATATATATATATATATATATATATATATATATATATATATATATATATATATATATATACATATAAATTTCTAACTTCTAGGAATTTAACTTAAAAATAAATCAAATAAAAAATAAATCAATAATGAGCAAAGCAACTATGCATTAAACAAATTTTAGCAAATAAAAAAGCATTAATATTAAACAAACTTCAGCAAACAAACTAGCATTAACATTGATCGTTAACATTATATAGGAAAAAAATCTTAATCTACCTATTAGTAAAAACTATTTGTTTTACATACTAATGACAACATGGTCCAATCCATAAAGAAATTCAAATTCAAAATAATAATCAATGTAAAAATTATACAAAATATGTGACCTACACAGACCAAATAAAAATTTTAATGTGACCTTCATTAAAACATTAAAACTAGGGCACTTGCCATTTTAATCAAAAAGCAACTTTTACCCACAATTTCAAAAATTCATCATGTGAAAACATATATAACAATTTTTTTAGGTTTTATTATATGCACAAACTACACTATTTATTAATTATTCTAGAATTTATTTAACTTAAACGAATTTGATTATTGTATCATTTTTTCCTTTATAAAAGATGTATAATCATTTGTGTGTGTGTGTGTGTGTGTGTGTGTGTGTGTGTATGTGTGAGTGTGTTTGTGCGTGTGTTAGTGTGAAGTTTATCACTGGATAAATTAAATGATTTGCATTAAAACTTTAATTTTATTCAAAACTCATATTAAATTTTTGCAAATAGGTGAGCAAAAGATACTATGACTCAAAATGAGGTTTTGATTTTTCAAAAAACGAAGACCAGATTTATTACTGATTTGGGGAGAAAAGTAGGAGAGTGCTGCTAAATTATCTAACCTATGGATAACATGCAAGGGAATACTGCTACGTCAACTGAGGGTTTGGGCTGGGGCAGGTATAGATCAATTAATATAGCAGTACTCTCTTATATTTCTCCCCAAATTAAAAATATATCTGGTCTTCGTTTTTTTGAAAAATTAAAACCTCATTTTGAGTCATAGTATCTTTCGCTTACCTTGCAAATAAGAAGTCGTAATCGAAATTGAGTTGTTTTTTTTTTAATAAAGATATTTCAATTTTGCAATCACCATTTAGAAGGTGATTACAAAATTGAAAAAAAGTTCATTTAAAAACATTAAAATTTTACCTGGTTATAAGCCATTGCATATTTCTACTTAAAACTAACTAAAACTCAAAATAGTTATCAATATAATTTAAATCGTCAAATTAAAAAACAAACATTGTTTCAGAATATTTAGTGGCTTTAAAATCTGGTTTCCAAAGTATAACCCCGTCTAAGTCCGAGCGGGTTTACGGCATCTAAAGTTTAGCAGAATAAAAAAATTGTTTTAAAATATAGCTTTAAACTAAAACGAAAAAGATCTTTCGTTTCTGAGGCAAGTGCGCTACCACTGCGTTACGGCTGCTAAATTTGTTAACATACTTAACTTAACAGGCCCGTAGCAACCGGGTTTTCAGCAGGGGCATTTGCCCCCTCCCCATAAGTAAACAATTTTGTAGAAATTGACCGAAAAAATGACAAAAAAAAGGCCCTTAAAACTATTGCGGGGTAGTACTGCCCCCCCCCCTACAATAAAATATTTGTTCCTACGGTCCTGCTTAAAACATAACAATGTAATCAACCTATTATCAGCGCTCCCAAAGCCATTCAACTGGCACCCCATAAAATATAAGCTTCTCATGAAAAAATTCTGCGTTTATTTTAAATAGAAATAGAAAACTAGGTCTTTAATAAACCATCGCTTACATACTTGCTTTACAATTTTGAACGCGTTTATGCCAGGAAACAAGACTAGGACGTTTTTTTAAGAAAATATAATTTTTGTATTCATAATGTACACAGTCAATTTTAACATAGTTTAGTGTATCAAAGCTATTGTAATTGTACAGTGACAGATGTTCATAAAATTACAATTACTTAGGAAACGCTAAACGACTTCTATTTTTTTAAGATAAAAACAAAAAATTGTAAATTGTCTTATTTTAACATAGTAGAGCAGTTTTCTTTTATTTTAACATAGTAGAGCAGATTTCTTTTTATGAGTTGAATTTTTTTTGGCTAAAACCCAAATGGCACTACCTCCCCATTTAAAACCAACCCTATTTTCAAAGAAGTGTATGCCTCAATATCTCCAGCAATGACGACTGAACTACAAATGAAAGATATACATTCATTCTAAATAAAGAAATAAATGACGTCATGTTTTCCACACTTGTCTATACTCTGAAAAATTGACTTGACTCTTCCTTTTACATCTGCTTATGATGAAAGTAGTTTCAGTAGACTTAAGATCAAAAATTATCTGTGATCAACAATGGCAAATAGAATGACATTAATTTTAATTGAGTGTAAGCTTGCTAAGAGCATTGACCTTGAATTATCAATCATTTTACTTCAACCCAGCGGGTACAGACGTACGTAAGACGTCTATACAACCCCTTATAGACGTAACAAGCCTGCATGATGTTCAGCGAACGCGTTTTGTTTCCAGCGGAAACAGAACGCGTTCGCCGAACGTTCTGTTTCCAGCGGAAACAGAACGTTCAGCGAACGTTCTGTTTCCGCTGGAATAAAATCTCGCAGAAAAAAGATTGTATAAACAAGCAGGAGAGAAAACTGCTATCTTAATGCTTGCTTTCAATAATATTTATAGTTTAAATGTATTTTTAAATAACCAAACCATTGCAATTATATTAAATCTTTCTTTTTTTTATTTAGCGATAGTTGTTAACCAAAGTAAACTTTATTTAGCGATAGTTTTTAACCAAAATAAACTTAGCAAACTCAAACTTTAGATTGTTTAGTGTCTTTGACGTACTTAATACTTATGATAAAAAAATACATAAAAGCATCGATAAAAAATATTTATCAAAAGTGGGATTCTCGAATAAAATGTTTCTAGGGGTTATTGTGTCACCTAATCCTTGTTGCTCCCCATTCATTCTCCTGCCCCACCCCCACCCCCATCATCCCTTCTCCCTCCAACAATGCAACGTCTCAATCCGCCACTGATATAATACCGTACTATTTATCCACTATAAATTTATATACGCTACTTATGTTTTAGTCGTCTAGTAAACATGATATCGCCTACCCAGCCGGCACATCTAGTTTCACTTCCGAAATTAAAACCTGTATAGGTCTAACAGGCAAACTGTTTTAAAATGATATGAAATCATATTAAAATTTGCACCCTTACCTGCTATTAAATTCTATAATCTAAAAGCCTATTATCTAAAATCTTACTTATAAAAATCCTATGCTCCAAATTCGTATATATAAAATTTTATAATGTAAAATCTTATATATAAAAATCCTACAATCAAATAATCTACTACCAGATGGTCAGAATCCACTAAATCAAAAAACATAAACTCACCCCCCTCCCTTTCTTACGGGATGGTCTGGATCCGCCCCTGGTTTAACATATGTTTTTTGAGATTTATGTATATATATATATAAAATATATATATATATATATATATATATATATATATATATATATATATATATATATATATATATATATATATATATATATATATATATATATATATATATATATATATATATATATATATATATATATAATATAGTTATATATATATATATATAACTCAGCAAAATGTACATACCTAGGCTGATCAATTACACGGTATTCTGTAATACTTTCAGCTGATTATGAATAGTCATGATGCTTTACAAATATAAAAAGCCTTAGCTATGATAATTTGTTAAAAAAAATTAACGTTTCATTAGAAATGGTTTTTGCAAACCAACTCCTTAAATAAATGTGCATTTCAGTATGCATAAACTTTAAATATTAAAAATCTTTCAGCTCAATATAGTTAGTTTAAAGAGCAATATTAATAAAATTGATTCCACAGTCAATCGCATATGGTCTCGACCTTCATAGCGCAGTCAATTATGACCTGTATTACAAGTCCTATTAGCTTTTTATATAGAGCTTATTTGTCGTATATAATTACTTAATATAATGCACAAAAACCCCAACATGTGCTTATAGCAAGTGTAACATTTATATCATTTTATTAATTGGCAAGATTTTGCAAAGTCTCATAAAAATTAAATAACGCAACCATTATTAAGGTGAGTTTCCACTTATCCGTTTTTTCGCGGGAACGGGAAAGGGGACGGGAAAAATAATCACGTGGGCATGCGTAGAATAACTTTTAATATGTCTGAAGAAAAACTACGCATGCTCACGTCATTATTTATCTCGTTCCTATCCCGTTTCCATGAAAAAACTCACCTTAAATAACTCACGAAATAGTACATTGTCACAGTCTATGTACATTATAATGTATATCAATCAATACATTACTTTTTAAAATAAAGGTCATGCAAAGCAGAATATTTAATCGGCAATTAACCTAATATGGGAAATTTTTTGGAAAAAAATAATGGTTACAATATGCTTGTCTGCGTCAATTAAAGTTCTGAAGGATATTAGCATCCAAATCATTTGATTACCATATTTATTATGATTATTTCAAAACTTTAAATCTTAAAATTTATTTAAGCAAAAAGATTTAAAATTTTCTTTTATTTCACTTTTATAATCGACCCAATCCAAGTAATAAAATATTCTTTCAAAAATGTGTATAACTCTGTTGGGAGTTTTATGCGCAGTCCCTATGCGCAGATTCAATCTCTATAAATAAATATAGAACTCTTTCATATCTTGAAGTTTTAAAATTTAAATATTTTTCATAAAAGTTTGCTGAAAAAGCCACAAACACCCACAACATGTAATAAAAATACCATAAATAAGATTTTTGCATTGCGTTATTAACAAGGAAGTTAAATATTGCATAAATAAGCGATATCGTGGCTTATACAACAAAAAGTACGAATATGGAAACAACTACTAGAGCGATGAATCGAAAAGGGCTGTAAAAGAAGATCCCAAGTCTAATTTATACCGTAAATCGTATTTTAATTATTAAAATAAAAAAAATTTAATAAAAAATACTAAACATGTAAGTTTTTATTAATATTTTTACACTGTGTGTTTATTAAATTTTTTAGACAAAGGTTATGGCTATGGTGGATATGGAGGATAATTATGATTTTAATTAAAAAAAACTTTACTTTGTTGGTAAAGTTTTTTTTAATTAAAATCATAATTAACTTCTATTTGTGCAATATGTTATTTTTAATTAAACTATTTCATAATTTTATTAATTGAAATCAGTCGTATCACCGAAATTAGCCAATTTAGGAATATAAGTTTGATCGATTTATCAAGACAATGAGAATTTGTTCAATTCTTTTGTTATATATTTTTTAGGAAGCTTTAATTTCAAAGTAGATAACTATAAAATTTTTAAAATATTTGTATTCATTTTAAACATCACAGTGACAAATGACAAAACGAAATTTTAAAAACAAAGGATTTTATTCAGCTTTTAAAGATCTTATGTTAAAAGTCTTTGCTGAATGTTGTGCTTTTCTAGATGTTGCTTAGCAACAGGATCAAATTCAATTAGCATGTCACTCCATAAAAATAAAGCAAAATCTTCTCAAAAATAGAACACGAATTTAAAAAATATATCATAAACCATCTTTTATCATCAGCTTTTTTTTCACAAGTTTTATTGGTATCATTCATTATTATTATCTATTAGTTTACATAACAATTAGGTATATTAATATGTGAATCAAATAAAAAAAAAAAATAACCCTCTCCCCTGGATACGTTACTGTCCAGTTTTAATGAAATTTTACCCTATACCATTACATATACCACTATGTAACAAAAATTATACAATCATATATCAAAATGTATAAAAGAACATTTTCAATTTTATTACATTAGACTGTGTATCTATTTAATAAATTACATTTTGAATCATAAATAAGAAAAAAAAATGTTATAAATATAAAAACTTGATTTGGACTTCCTTTTTGACACACACCCTGGTTAATTTGTGTTTACGTTTCTAAAAGTTTAAATTTAGCTGTCAGCTTAGTTTAAAGTGTCGCTGCTTTTTATAGAGGTTTTAAAACATAAAATTAAATTAAAAAATTAAAAAAATGAGTTAATATATAGGGAAAATGCTTTTTTTGTGAAAAATGAATAAAAATTGCTTTATTTTGTTTGCAATTGTCGGTATCACAATATTGTCGGTATCACAAAATTCTTTCAATAGAAGAAAGAAAAAGTAATACAAAAAATAGCTGTTTATAATTGCAATGATAAAATCTTTTGTTCTTGGAAAATTAATAATTTGTGGATAAAAACTAGAAAACCTATATTCAGCTTCTGGACTTATAAAGTAACGTTGTTATATTGGGGACTTATAAAGTAAAGTTGGGGCAAACAACTTTAATAATATTTTATTAAAGTTGTTTGCCCCTATAACTCTTTGTGAGAATTGTGAGTACTTTGTAATTTTTTGTTGTGAAAGTTTTTTTTAATGGTTTTTTTGCTCATTTTCAACACAATAATTACGCTTTTTTAGTACTGAAAAAAACAAACAAAAAAAAACATTGGATAAACCTTTTAACTTAGTTAAATTTATAACTTTAAATGCTTACTTTTCAAAGCATATTTAATGAAGCCTTCAGTGTAAAAAGAATACTTTTTATATATCACATGAGAAAATAAGTCGATAACGTGTTGTAGAAAAGAAATTACAGACAAAAAAATTGAAAGTATAAGTATATTTTTATTATTGCTAATGACGGCTGAAATTTATTTAGTTATTGGTTAGTTCTAATTTAGACAAGTAATAATGATATTTTTAATTGGTTTGAATCTTATTCAGAAATTAAAATATCCTCTTTGCTTAGAAATGTTTTTGATCAGCATCTTCAACTATGCTATAAACTAACTTAAATATTGCGCACAAGATAAATGTTTTTTAGGAGTGTAAAGTAAACTGTAAATTAGCAAAGTTTGATGAATATGTTTATATTTTCATAGACGCGTTTGGTGATGATTTAAAAGCCGTTCTTTGTTTTCGACCAATGGTCCACAGAAATTCTCAAAAAATTGGACAACCATTAACCTCTTTGTTAAATGGCTGCATATTGCTTCGTCACCAGTACCGAATTAAGGAGAGGGGCTAAAAAAACAAATAGCCCCGGCCCCAAGAAGTCTTAATCCGCCACTGTTCGTCACCAATTGCCAAATTATTTACGCCGTGAGCATATTAAGCAACAACAAAGTGTATAAAATTGTTTATAGTGTGAAAAAGTCTCAAAGATGAATTGATTATATAATTAAGTAAAATTGTAGTTTCATTTGCATTAGTTAATACAAAGTTATTTAACCCTGTTGCAAATGAAACTACAATTAAGTAAAATTGTAGTTTCATTTACAACAGGGTTTATAACTTTGTGTTAACCTCTTTGGTATATTTATAAACTATAAATCGAATTCTTGAAATTTAAAAACACTTAAATTTAGTGTTTGGTGACATTAGATATCTGTTTATTAATAATTTATTTAATTAAAAGTGTAATTTTCTGACATTTTAGCCCTTATACAATATAAAAACGCAGTTTTTGTGCTAAATACAAGTATTATTTATTCACAGTATTCTTTTGAAAACAAGACACTCATCTTGGACATCTGTGGTTTTTCCGTTGTAAACTTATCAACTCATATATTACGTTAGCCTGTAACCTTTTAGAGCACTTATTTTTTAAAGGTAGATGGTTTTAAAGGTAACACGTTGTAATATACAACTGCAACGTAATAAATGTGATCTTCATATTATATATATATATATATATATATATATATATATATATATATATATATATATATATATATATATATATATATATATATATATATATATATATATATATATAATACTATAAAATAACATACAGTATTTTTATTTTAAGAAAAACACTGAAAAAAAAAACACCTTAATCCAACAGAATAAATACTTTGTCAATATACAATATTCCAAACATGTATTTTATATATAAATATAGGTATTATAATAAATATAATATACATATTTATGTATATAAAAATTATTATTCAATCATCTGAAAACATCTTTTTTTTTTGAAACCAAATCAATATTCAATAAAAGCATATCGGTCAAATTTGTATATTTTATTTTCTAGTATAACTTCACTTTAAATAGGGTAGATTAGGGTAATATGAGCACCTCAAGCGAAAATTGGAATATTTTCAAAAATAAATATGCTGGATCCAAAATTTTCACGAATAAACAGTTTTTAGGGATCCCTACTCATGAAATATTTAGACATTTGGACATCCGACATTTTTTCTTAAAAATACAGAGGTTTTAAAAAAGCTCTTATTACCCAGACCCCTTGGTAATATGAGCACTTTAAATTAGCTCAAAAAAATAGCATTAATTAAGTAAAAAAAGACCAACCTGATTAAAAGAACTAATTTTTGGAATATAAAGATTCGTGATTAACAAAACTTATCATTAAAATATCAAATTTTAAGCTACATTTTGTTGAAACACTACAAATATGTTTTCCGCAAAAAAAAAAAAAAAAAAAAAAAAAAAAAACTTTTCAATTTTATTAACTCAAGCCTTTGAACAATAAAAATTCAAATATTTTAAATTTAAGTTAAAGAAAAATATTTAGTATTGTTAAAATATTAAAATTTTTTATTATGTTTTGTTTTTATTCAAGAAGCAATTAAAAACCACTGCTATTTTAGGACTTTAAAATAGTTTAAATGAAAAACACTGGGTAATTTGAGCATGCTCATATTACACATAAATGGCATCTTCAAATAAAGTCAAAAATAAATGTTTCTATGCATTATTTTTCAAACCAAATGAATTGGATTTTTAGCTAATATATTTTTCCTTTATGAAAAAATTAATTTCACTATTTTAGCACCAAAAATTTGCGCCACAGAATTATTTACGCGTGATGATATTATTTTAACAAAGCAAAAAATTTAAAAGCGTTTTAATTAGATGATGTCCTCTAATTACTGCATATAAATTTACGCTAATTATACTGATTCCTGTTATCACCACATAAAGTCGATTCGAAAAACACAAAACAACTTTAACTTCACTGCTTACATCTTATAAATCTTTAAGTATGCTCATATTATCAAGGTGCCCATATTACCTTTATCTACCCTAACTGTCTATTATCAAATCCTCAGGTGTCTTGACTCAAGTGATACTGATAAACTGTTAATAGACTCAAGTCATAAGCCTAATAGCTTAATAACTAAAATTATACAAGCTCATTCAATAAATTCTCTTAAAACTTTATATTACATATTACTTTTAAAAAACTTTTTGTAACAGTAATATGCTTTATAATACATATATTAAATTATGTATAACTTTTATTAAACTACTATTTACGAAATTGTAAAAAATCGCTTTGCCTCACTCTACGTCACTTTTTGAACGATAGCTAAGCTTCAAAATATTTTTCAAAATTAAATGGTAACGCATGCCTATGCCGTATCTAGTAACTTATATATCTATGGTTCGGAAAATATTGAAACCTCAAAAACGAAATTATCGCATTTTGGAGGATTTTGTGAGCATTGCAAGTGAAAAAAATACCAAAATTAATGTAAGTTAATATTTAGAGAAAAAGCCTAAAAATGAAAGTTGTAAATTACAAAATTTTTGTCATTAAATTTTTTTGATAAGACGCTTCTCAAGGAAAAATTTTAAGTTTTTGGTATTTTTCGTCATCATTCTTTTTTTTATAATGTTGATGGTGCTTTTATGGCAATTTGTATCATTATTGGTTATTACAATTTCGCCTCCATCTGATTATTATGAACTTGCTACTATTTCGCCAGGTATACTTTTTTTGTAGAATTACATTCTGCTGGAAGAGCGAAAACATACCTTGTCAAAGCAGTAGAAGTTGTAGATATTATGGTATATATTAAATTTTTAAAGGAACAAAACCAACTCAGTTTTAAATATCCATCTGAAGACGAATTCTCTTGGCATTAATTTATATAAACTTATTGTAAACATTCGAAAGTATATTTTTCTTATCTTTAGTATAACATATAAATTATATTATAAATTATTTGTCTTTAATATAATATATTAACATACTATATATAAAATAATTGCACATTTAATATAACTTTTATTGGTATATATATATATATATATATATATATATATATATATATATATATATATATATATATATATTTATATATATATATATATATATATATATATATTTATATATATATATATATATATATATATATATATATATATATATATATATATATATATATATATATATATATATATAGCAATATATAACATATATATATATATATACCAACATATATATATATATACCAAAAGTTATATTAAATGTGCAATTATTTTATATATAGTATGTTAATATATTAACAGATTGCCTTAAGATTTCCGACGTAAAAGGAGATGCTGAAAAAGCAACTATGCTAAGAACCTCTATTCACTGTCACGGTTTTAATCTTGTGCTGTTTTTGCTTTCTAAAAACACCGTCACCAATTGAAAGATGGTGCTGAGCCGAAATAAGAACAGATACTACACTTGATCTTAGCCATTAGGCTGAGAAGCGAATACAACCAAAAAAATGACAAATATTTCTAAGTTCCAATTGTTACTCTTTTTTCGTCTCTGGGTGATGTTGGTTCTTGCTACTATTGTGGTTCTATGAAACATCGTAGAATAACTTATAACTTTGTAACAATCTTTATGAATGCGAGTGTAATTACAAATTACAAATTAATTATCAATTAAAAAATAACCGTCACTAATACAATTTCAGAGAAATTAGAGTTAGTTTATTAAATTTATTTCTTCCCTTTTTCTGTTCCGTGCACGACTCCATTATGACACTAATTTATTCTTTAGCCACACTTTGCTACCGTACTTTGGATACAAAATATATACATAAATGTCATTTAAATCTAGTTTAAAAACGTGGATTATTCAGCATCAATATATACTGAATTAACTAACCTATTTCAATGTTAACCTCTTTTTGCATACTGTATCATATATGATATAGTTTATAAATTGTGTATCTCTTGGTTGAACTCACATCGATTTTAAATGGGAATTAAGTTAACTAAAGCGTGGAACTTTTAAGTGAGTGTGGCCACCATACTTGGATTGTTTTTGCAAATTTTACTTTCAATTTTATTTCTCATATTATCGAAATGGCATCCGGCAGCAAATAAACTATTTATTGTAAGTACATGTACATCATTTTATTGAGGAAGGTTCCTTTTAATCATAAACCCACAAAAATTCCCAAAGTTTCTTATATGTATTGGTAGACCTCTTGTGTATTTATTTACCTATTTTATTAAACTTTCAATCCTCAACAATTCTTTTTGTAAGTGCATCAGAAATGATACATCATGCATCTAAAGAAAAAAATTTTAATTTTATATTTTTGATTTATTGTTATTTCTTTTGTTATTAAACGTTTTTATTATTTCTTTTAATCTTTAGAAATCAAGCTAACTTCTTTCTATGGTAGAAAGCCTTCTGGTATCCACAGGATACAGGTGCCTGTAATGATCAAATTTGCTGATGACGACACAGATCTCTGCTCCTCAGGCGGAGATTCCAGCGATGAAGAAGATATAACTTATTGCGAACTGTTTTTGCCAATATCTTTTTTGTCCAGTGAGGAAGTTGATAGCAGTGATGAGAATGCTGACAGCAATGATAATCAGTAACTTTCAATATTAGGAAGAACAAATGGCAGCGCGAGTCAAAAACAGGGTGCAACAGTGGTGCAAGCTACCAATAAACCAAATGCAAATGAAAAAAAGCCTGCAAAAAAATCTCAGCTATTGTGGAAAGTTAAAAATCTTCTAAATAAACAAGAAGACCACAAAATTAAAGGTAACTACCAACAAAAAATGAACGAGTTATTGGATTGTCATAGTTCAGAACTGTCATGCTTTTATTGGATATTTCCAAAAGAGCTTTTTCGAGAAATTGCCTATCAGACAATGTTGTACTCCATGCAAACCAATCCTGGAAAACCAGTTGTTGTAAAAGAAGAAGATATAATTCGTTTTTTTGTATGTGTTTTGTATATGTCCATTGTCAAACTCCCAAGCACAAGAGATTGTTGGTCGTCTTCCATTGGAATTGCTCATGTAATTAATATTATGCCCGTCAACCGCTTTAAAAAATTAAAAAGTATTATTCATTTTACTGACAACAACACTGCTGACAAAGACTATAAGCATTTTAAGATCGCCCTTTTATAAAAAAATGAATAAACAGTTGAACAGTATTCCATTTGAAGAAAATTTGGCGGTTGATGAGCAGATTATTCCGTTTAAAGGGAGACATTTAATCAAACAATGCAACCCTAAAAAACCGCACAAATGGGGATTTAATGTTTTTGTTCTGAGTGTTGTCTCTGGCTTCAGCTATAATTTCGAAGTTTACTGTGGAAGTGACAACATTTGCCTTGAGAATGACCCAGACCTTGGGGCAAGTAGTAATGTTGTCATGTGCCTAGCTCGAATCCTGCCCGGTGACGTTCATCATAAATTGTATGTTGACAATTGGTTCATTAGCATTGGTTTAAATGTTTATATATTCAAGAGGGGAATTCAAATGGTTTGACCTGCACGTAGGAAACGTGTTGAAAATTGCCCAGTTTTGTCAGATAAAGAAATGAAGCAAAGGGGTCGCGGAGCATTTACAAAACATGTTGCCAAGGGTGACGGAGTTGATGTATCGGTAGTTTCCTAGTTTGACAACAAAGTTGTAACTTTGCTGTTTAATTTTATTGGAAGTAAACCTTCAATTGAGGTTAAAAGATTTTTAAGAAAAGATACGTACTATATCAACGTTTCCTGTCCGGGAGTAGTTACTATCTAAGAAATAACAAGCACATGGGGTAAGTCAACTTGCTTGATTTTTTACTTGGCTATTACTGGAACAAGATTCGGTTAAAAAAGTGGTATGACTGGATCTTTTTCCACTTGATTGATATGTCCATAATCAATACCTGAATTCTTTGGCAAAAGCGTAATCCATCAACTCCACTTGTCAAATTTAAATTGAAGGTAGCAGATTTGTTGTCTAATTACCAGGTGTCGCGTAAACGAAAAGCAGATCTACATCACTTGCTGACATCACACAACGTGTTGGTCCGAAAATTGCCATTTTCCATGAAGCAACTTGGTCTGATTAAATTGGACATTAAACCCTTTTTAATGAAAAGCGGACTCGTTGCAAATATGACAAGTGCTCCGCCTTAACATATTCATTTTGTGAAAAGTGTGACACTACGCAGTGCCTTAATAAGGACCGCAACTGTTTTAAAGCTTTCCATCAATATATTTTTTATTTATAATGATATCTATATTGAGTGTATTTAACTACCAAGGTCATATTCCAAGATAAACTCTCTGTTTAGCAACAAACATTAGCTTATAATTTTTTCATAAAGTTCCACTACTGCATGATGTATCATATATGATACAATTAATTATTTTGAAATTAATTGACCTTATTTTAATATTATTTGTATTACTATAAAGGTAATACAGATAATATGAATTTTTCATCTTACCTGTATAACCTTTTTTGTATTATTCTTTAAATGCTAATAAATTATATAATAAAACAATAAGCAACAAGAAAACTGATTAATATAAAACAACTGCAGTTTAATAATAAAGATGGTAGATGGCTAAAATAATATTAGTCAAAATAATCAAAACTCGTTTGTTATGACTTGTATTCACCGATGTAATTGATAGACATTTTTTTAAATTTGATTTCTCTAACCAATATATTTCCTCTTTACATATCTTTTACTGTTTCCCTAATTATATACCAATTTTTTTCATTCAATTACCCAATGGTTTGTTTTGAACTTCTTACATTTGTTGCTCGAATAATACTGCAAATATGTAAGATGTAACAAATTAAAATTTTTTTTTTTTAATTTTTGTTTTTAGGTGCCCCAAGAAGATCTTCTTGTCACAGAGAACCACTGAAAAGCATTTAAATAGGAAGTTAACCCTTTTTTTTTGACCGATAGCGCAAAAATATGTCCAGACTTCGCTTCGAATCTCTAACCACTGCGCCGCGGCCGTATAAATAAATATTTTTTAAAATAAAGCTTTATATGCCTGTCATTTATTATAATATTACCATTGTTTTTAGTCCATGAACTATGCAACAAAAACAATTAACAAACTTTTCATGAAAAAATTTAAATGCTCAAAATCGAAAACCCAATGACAAAACATTACCTGCCAATGACAAAACATTACCTACCAATGACAAAACATTACCTACCAATGACAAAACATTACCTACCAATGACAAAACATTACCTACCGTTAATATTTTACTTTTACTTTAAAAGTAAAATATTAGCGGATTTTACAAATTTTCTTTAAAAGCAAAATATTGTGGCCTCTTCACCTGATAATGCTGACTTTAATTTTTGTGGAGAAAAACAGCAAGTTAAAGAAAATTCATTTATAAAATACATTTTCTTTACCCTGAAGCATCTCAAGATAAACATCATTAGATTTAGTTGTGTAGGTCACATCATTCACAACATTTTCATTCACAATATTCGACTTTGGTCCAACAGTTCAAATCACATAATGTTAACAGTTCATATCACATAATTTTGAAAATTTTTCTTATTTTATGCAGGTACTAGAAAAAAAGTACAAACAAAAGTTCTTAAACTGATAAATTTACCCGGGGAAACGTCAACTTTAGTAAACGATCAAATTTTATAGATTTTTACAATAACAAATTTTCTTTAAAAGCAAAAAATTGTGGCCTCTTCACCTGATAATGCTGACTTTAATTTTGATGGAGAAAAATAGCAAGTTAAAGAAAATTAATTTATAAAATACATTTTCTTTACCCTGAAGCATCACAAGATAAACATCATTAGATTTAGTTGTGTAGGTCACATCATTCACAACATTTTCATTCACAACATTCGACTTTGGTCCAACTATTATTAAAATGTATTTGCACTTTTCAATTTATACCGTAAGGGTTGAAAATCTGAAGGAATTTGGTTTTGTATTCTTTGTCAACAAAACCACAGTTTTGTTGGTGAAGAATAAAAAACCGTACATTCGAAAAACCGTTGGGGGTTATTGCTTCATTTTTTAAACAGAATAATTGAGTGTTTCAACTATCTAAAACTATATTTGTTTTCTTTTGCAAAATATATCTCTAAAATTTTAAAGATTTTTGAAAGTCTTTTTTTTTTTTTCATCAAGACAAATTATAACTGGTTTTGAAATAAAGTTCGAAATCCCAACATTTACAAAAAATCAAAATGCGTCAAAATAAAATTTTTTTTTCGGAACTTGCGAATGCTTTTTTAGATAATTTAACAAAAAATAATATACATACTTATGTTAAAATTACAAGCTATACTTATGCATTTTAAGAAACAATTATACACTATGTCAAGGACTTGGCCCTTCCTTTTAAACAATTTAAATTAATGCGTTCGGAGATTTAAAAATGGATTGTCGAACAGCAAAATGTTTTAAAAACGTTTTCAATTATAAAACAAGCAGAATAAGTAAGAA